AGTCTGGCAATTGAGAGCTTTATTTAAGATGCTGCAAAGATAATTGGAATCCTGATCTCAGGGATTTCCCCAGAAGCATAAAGCCAAAGTGAAAAGCTGGTGCATAATGGTTTCAAGGGATTCACCTTATTAAAACAAAATCACTTTGAATCCTTCATTTCCCCACTGAAATCCTGTCCATTTCTCTGTTGAATGCTGCTGTTGTGAAAGCCACTTTTTGGAGGGCTTCTTGAGATATTCTTTTTAAGACAACACACTAAGCTGAGGGCTTATGTGCCGTATCTAAAGTATACAACACTCATCACCATAGTACCTGAGTGCATCAAAAGCAAACAGGGAAATCTGCTACTCTCGCTTCATCATTCAGTAAGAGTGCATCTATACCGCAGTGTTATTTCAGAATAACTAACGTTATTCCGACATAACTTAGTGTGTGTCTACATACAAGCATTTATTTCAAAATAATCTTGAAATAAAGTCGAGCTGGAGGTCTTCTTCCTCTGACTCCTGTAACCCTCATTTTACAAGGAGTAAGGGAAGTTGGAGTAAGAGTGCTCTACCTCGGACTTCCTGCTGTGTAGACAGCGCCAAAAGCTGAAATGAGCTATTTTTAGTTAAGCTACACAATTGACATAGCTGAAGTTGTGTAGCTTATTTCGGTGTTAGCCCTGATCTGTGGACGTGCCCTAAGACTACCTCAAGAAATTCTCCCAGACTGGAAGAACAGAGACCGTTTCCTGATCCCTCCAATTACCTGCACATCTAAGCACTTCCTTGATAAATGACATCTGCATAACAAGCCCTGCAGTGAATTGAATCCAGTCATCTTCTCTCCTCCTTTCCCTGCTATGGGGCTTTTCCTTGAGATATAGAAACAAATTTGTAAATCCTATATTCTTGGCAGGCAGGTGAACAGTAAGATTTCATGGCAGTTTTCCCAAGCATGGCATTGTTCCCCTTGGTGCTCTTGCCAAATTCCATTATGGGTAATTACGTTCTCCCTACCTGCAACTCTCTCTCCCCTTGCCATTTTCAGTGGCTCACACACAGTGAGGCTGTGAGCTGTCGAACAGCAGTCCAGTTTCATCCCAGGGGTAGCTGACTTCCAGTCCCATCTGCAGCAATACCTGCGAGGGATGTTCGATATCGTGTAATTGAATAGTCATGTAACTACAGGCAGTCCCCGGGTTACGTACAAGATAGGGACAGTAGGTTTGTTCTTAAGTTGAATCTGTATGTAAGTCGGAACTGGCATCCAGATTCAGCCGCTGCTGAAACTGATCAGTTTCAACAGCGGCT